ATATATTATATTTTATATAGTGTCCTTTCAACTTTGAAATTATTCTCAATATTAATATTTCCATTTTCATTAAGTTTACTTTCGCTTCTCTCTTCTTTTCATACTCATTAAAAATCCTTTTATCAACATTTTCCACATATTCATTGTAGCTTTTACATTTTTCAGCAGATTATTTGTCGCATTCTTCATAAATTCCTTTCTCTTTGCCATTCACTCGCATATTTTTTAAATTATGCTCCCAAGGTATGTCATCAGTCATAACCTCAGACTGTCGACGTATTTACTTAACTTTGGCACACTCCGTTTTGCTCAATATCAAATGTTGATTGTGTTTACCATTTCATGGTTTCATTTATGGCACTTCCCCTATGCTGGGCCACGTCCAACTTCCCACTCTCCTTCTTCTTCTTCCCTTTCGCTTATATTGTCATTTTCAGTCATGCTTCAACGTTTGTTGTTGATCCCCCCACAGTTTTTGTTGTACCGCCCATCTCTTTGCTTCCTGTTTGCGTAGATGGGGTTGTGACTGAAACAATAATACGAAAATATAAAGCTTCCAACTTCTGCTGCTGTTACTGCTGCTACTGCTGCTATTGCTCTTGCTGCCCTCAGGGCGCTTTAGTACTCGGCGGACTGACCACTTGCCAGCTTCCAAACGTAAAGTAAAATCTGTTTTGCACCGGCAATGGCCTTAAGCAAGAGAGCATAATAGCTACGAACATAACTGAATTGTAGATACCCTTAAGAGCTGAAATAAAGTGTTTAAATGCTATAATTTAAATCTAGTAGAGAACAATAGTATTTTGGAATTAATATCGAAAAGAAAAGAAATATCTAAAGAAGAAAATATGCAAATGCGATTTGCTGGAAGAATATATTTTTTTAAATAATTAAATTTTAAACCGACTTAAATTTTAAACAAATAAACAAATAAATATATCTCTATTTATGATTAAAATGTCGCAAGCTTTTTGATCAAGTTGCGAATACCTTCTTTAATGGCACAACAATAATAATCTTCACATGCAACCCCTTTTGATGTGAGTCGCACAGCAGGCAATGGCAAAATGTCAGAGGTCGGGATGGGCGGAGCAGTTCGTTTGACAGCGACGCTCATTTGAAATGCATGCGACGACAGGATTGGGAATGGGCATGCGAATGGGTAATGGGCATGGGCATGGGCATGGGCAAGACTCTGAGTCTGCTTGGCACGAAATTGTGGCAACGACGAAGCAATCAGCTCGTGTCAGCAAGGAGCATATCCTGCCTGACTGATGCCGGCGCTGACTTTTACTCGTCGTTCGGTTGGCTTTTTGGCCTGCGGAAGTGTTTGTTTATTTAATTTCTGGTATTTTTAATTGAATTTTCAATGCTGCCACACAGATTTCTGATGCAAAATCTCTCTACCTCACTCACTCACCCCTCTCTTTACATTCTTTGCCACATTTACAGAAGCTGCATCATTGGACCCGAGCTGAGTGTTAAGGTCTGTTCCATTGGCACTGTGATAAACCGTTCGGCCTATGCGTCGGACTATTGCCAGCTAGAAGGCACAACGGGCCGACAGACACAGCCAATGCCCATACGCTGGATGGCCTGGGAGAGCGTCCTGCTGGTATGTACACACGCCCGACTTATAAAACTTTATAGCCCAACATACCCAACAAAGTCCAACAAGTTTGAATTGAGTTTAACAAATGCACCTTGTTCACAATATTTTCTCTTAGTTTTATTATTCTCAGTTTTGCTTTGCTCATTTACTGCATGAATTGTGCACCGAGGCACAAGTTTATAATTATAAATTAATGAACAGTGTTAGCTCTTCCTCTCCCTCTCTCTCTCCCTCTCTCTCTCTCACTCTTTCTGCCATACACTCTTTCTTACTCATTGGTTAAGTCCAAGCAGTCAGTGTTAGGTGGGCGACGGGGTAGTCGATCCTTCAAGCAGCTTGACAGCAAAATGAGTTGTAATTGTGTTAATTATTTTTAATTTGCTTTTTCTGCTGCCTCTTTAAGCAGGCGATTTATGTCAGTTACCTTTTCCGGTCTTCAAGCTCGCCGTGCCACATTATAATAAGTCTATTACCATAGCGTGAGTAAGCAAAAAGCGCTTATATATTATTAAAAATAACTCTTCCAATTTTACCAAGTCACAAATATTTCAACCAGGTAAAGCTAATTGAGAGAGCTTTGCTTGAGAATTAGTTTATTTTGTTTTTAGAAATGTTACGCAATGCAATAAATCGAATGATAATAAGACATAATACATGAATAAGAATATACATGAGAAATAAATATAGAAAAGTTACAATATACATCGTAGTAAATAAATAAAGAATCTAGTATAAAATAAATAAATATATACAAAATTTCGATATAAGTTTTTCAGTAATTCTGATGTTTTGGTAAATTTAGATTACTTCTCTGCTCTCTAGCCATAATAAATTTCTCTACTCTTTAGCTGCAATAGTAATGAAATAGCTTATATTCCAAACATTTTTTAAGCGAAGACGAACCTCATCTAAGTCCAACAAAATAATTTAAGAGCTGCAGTTCGCCGAATAGATGGACTTTCTGAGTAATATATGTATATTTTATAAGGATATTGAGGTCATTCATTTCGTTAGCTTTCTATTCCTAGCATGCAAGTTCGTTCTCACGCCATGGGCTTGATCACATACAAAGCATGTTCTCATAGTTCGTACATAATAAAAGAATATCACTCGCTTAGTACTGATGCATAGGGGGCGCCGCTCAGCAAAATGTTTAATTTGTCTTAAGCATACATACATATACACATTTTAGTAAAAACCTTCCTAATTATCAGCACTAAGAACTAAGGCAGCCAAAGTAGAACAAACTCTAAAAAATCATTAGGTAACACAAAACACAACAAAATTTCATTTATTTTTTAACATATATAATTAATTGTAATCAAGAGTAACAAATATTTCTAATTAGCCCGAATATTTATGAGTGTCTATATAACGACCTCGACTATAAATTAAGACTTTCAATTAGCTGACATGTGTTTCGAGTGCAATAACCCCAGCATACATGAATAGAGCATGTATCAAAGCTCTCTCAGCTTATCTGAAATGCCAACCGAGCACTTTAATTTGCGCTGGAAATGGCAAAGAGTTTCGTTTTTATTACAGCGTAAACAAACGAAGCACAAACAACGAGCATCAACAAAAAATTAAAAGTAGAGAATAAAAAAATATATAAAACGAAACGAAAATAGAACCGAAACATAGGAAAAATATTTTAAAAATCCCCTAGCGCAAAACCGCACTAAATAAATTAATTAACTACATGAAAAACGGCACAGACAACGGAACAAAACAGCCGTACGGACAAAGGACATGTATGAAGTTTGCGGCAAAACCGTAGCGTTCAGAGAGGCAAAGGACAGAAATGAAATTCATGGATAAGCTAACGCATATATATAGCACTAGATCTAGACCCATGTTGGTTGTGGATGCTGTTGCTGTTGTTGCTTTTATACCCATGAGCCCATTCGAAATGGGTAGTCGAATACATATTTGTGTAGGCAGAAGGAGGAGTCGTCTTCATATAGTGTATATCATCTCAATTAATATATATTCAGGTATTCAGGTGAGTTAGACCTGTCACTTCTTAAGAACTACGTAAAACTTTGATATCGTGTCAAAATATCAAATAAATATATATAAAATACCTAACATATTGCAAGGTAACTTTTAGTCAACCACACCCTACTAAAGCACGCTCTTACTTGTTATTATTGTATGCCTGTTTGTTTGCGTATTTCCATGTGTGTGTGTGTATGTTTTAGACAACATTGTACAAGCTGCTTTTAGAGTTGTGCCATTGCCTTTGGGGCAAATGAGCGGCAAAACAGTGGTAGCGAGGGGGGTTTGAGTTGCTCTTTGGTATTTATACATATGTTTATTAAAAAGCGCAAAAGTTGCCTTAAAGGATATCTGTGTGTGCGCATGAATGGCTTTTGTGCCGCCGTGTRGCAACAACAACAACATCAGCAACGATAACCACAAAATCCTTAAGCCAAAACGAAAACAAACGAGAAAGCCTTTTGGCCATATTCGACTATTCATATTAATAAGAAGAAACAAAAACTGATTTAATTGCAGGCCAAATTCAGCACAAAGTCGGATGTTTGGTCATTTGCCGTTACCCTGTGGGAGATATTGACATTCGCCAGAGAGCAGCCATATGAGCACATGACAGATGCGAATGTTATTGAAAACATTGGACATATCTATCAGGACGATAAAATGCATGTAAGTAGTAAAACAAAATACCATCTCTATATACACATACAACTGTATACATCGAGCTTATCCATGTATAATATATATGTATATATTTGCAGGAACTGTTGCCAATGCCACTCAACTGTCCGCGCGAAATTTACGATCTCATGTGCGAATGCTGGCAACGCAACGAATCAAGTCGTCCCAATTTCCGGGAGATACATTTGTTTCTGCAGCGCAAGAATTTAGGTTTTAAGCCCAACACCCAAACGCTGATGTATTGAAATTGTAAAAAAAAAAAAAAAAAACACACACACAAGCAAAATAATGAAAAAGAACCCACTCACGATTTTAGCACATATTTGAAATACATTTAGGTATATATGCATATATCATATATTACATGGTAAACTTTAATATAAAACAGCTAAAGAAAAACAAAATCTGAATAAAAAGAAAACACAATGCGAATTTTATGCATTTATATGAGAAAATGCATTTAAAAATAAACGATATGCAAGCTAAACTACGGCTAGTCGTATTTCAGATATCCCCAACCAAACTTTTATCAAGTTTAAAACATTTAAGCTCTAGTTGACTGAGAGATACCCGGAAATCATTATTTTAAACTGATTATATGCGTGGCTATTATACATATATTGTATGGGTTTAGGGTAATAATCAAAGAATACCGCAGTATATTGGTTAGACATATGTATAATGTATGTAATAATAGTGACTTACCTATTGTTGTCCGTACTATACATCCACTGATTTTCACTTTCACATTACACTACACCATTCTGAAATGGAAAAAATAAGCATATTAAGATTTAACATAAATAATATTAACAATCTTCGATCAAATTTTTCTTTAATTTGATACCTTTTCTCACCCTTAATATTAAACCAAATTAAGTTCAATTACTCAAAGAAATCCCTTGTATCCATCCACTAATTTTAGTTTTCACACTAATATAAAATTAAAGAACAAAATTATTTACTTCGATCAAATTCCTTTTAATGTGATACCTTTTCCGACATTATAATTTAGTTCTTTAAAATAAAGATATATTTATATTACATTCAAATTCAATTCAATTAACTTAAAAACATTTGTTTTGGTTTCTGTTCGGTTGGGGCATAATACACTTAATACAACATAATAATATCTATATATACATATTATAAGTGATTTATTGGTCAAACACAGGAGATGCTTAGTATTAGCTTAGCTTTAAGTTCAAATTCAAGTCAATAGCTTAAGATTTTTGCATTCGAACATAATTGAAATAGCATTGTAAATATAGACTTCAAGAGATAGAGAAACTATACACAATTCACAGTTTTTGGCATATGATAGACCTAAGTATTTGTAGTCCTGTACGCGTATTCTATGAAATAGAATCTAAAAGAAAGTAAACATTGACATATGTGTGTACCTATCGCTCCTCCACCTGAACGCTATCTATCGAATAATTTTGCTTTAAATGTATATACCCAGAAAATGAAAGGAACTATATTATATACATACATATATATTTATATAAATGTAGTTCTATGCTATCCCCCTCTCAATTAAAAAAAAAAAAAAAAAACATAAAAACTCTATCAACTATGACTCAAAATTGAATTTTGATGGATACAAAATGGAGAGAAAAGAGAAATCTACTATATATCCGAGAACCTGCGTATAATTTTGACAATAACTGTTTCGAGCAACTGAAAATTAGAATTTCAATTTATGCAAAAAATGCTTCTAGAACTGCCTACAAGTAGAGAAGTATGTTCTATATTAAGCTCATATGCTAAGCGTAAATATTCTAATGCTAAGATCATCAATTTTATTTTCAAGCCAATGCTCGAACTTTGAATCACGAGATGACTAAGTCAATTAGACGCATATCAAAATATATTATTTATTCTGACTTACATTAACCTATCACCAATTGTTTTTATTTTGTCTTATTCTAATATCATTAATGAACATTTTACTGTGCCTTTTCCTCGTGTTTCTTTCATATTCCAACATTTTTTATGTGGAAACTAAATTAATTGCTAATCTGAGTTTTATGAATAAGCTTTACGAAGGTTTCGCTGTAGTAACAAAAATGCTTTGATAATATATTAATTATAAACTATAGAAAAGAAGAGAAAATAAATTAATTCGAGCTCGAATTCGGCTAACCGAATCTCAAATGACTTTCCATCGAATCAACTATAAAAAAATATTCAAATGGAAAACCCAAATAATTTTTTGGAGAGTTCATTCAATGAAACATTTGTAATTGTGCAATTGATTTAATTAAAAATCTTATTTCGTAGCATATTCCAATCATAAATGCTGATTTTGCATTGTAGACTCATATAAATGCAATTAAAAACTATTATTAAAAATATATTTATTCCATAAAACAAGTACACAATTGTTTGAAAATGCTGTCGCAAAATTATTAAAAACTAAAGTTTCACTTGCAACGAATCAAATTATGACAAAATTATATGAATTATTTATTAATTTCAAGGCAAATTTAATATATATTGAAAACAACAACAACAATAAATTAAACATTCAGACATTTGAAAAACAAAGAAAAACGTTGAGCACAATCATGTTGAATAAAAGTTTTAAAATTTAAGTGGCTTGAAATAGCAAAAACAAAAACAAAAAAAAATCATAAGAAACTTAATGAAGAAATTACAAATATATAGCTTAAGTAAAAAATTGCAGCAAACATAAAACAAAAACCAAACCGTAATGACATACAAATCCTAAGTACACAAAATGCAAAACGTAAAATGAATTACAAATAAAAATTTCTTGAGCGAACAATCTCCTTGGTGGCGCTTTCCTATGGGTAGGGTCGGAGCTCAGCAAAAGCTGTAGCATCACAACTAAATGAGAATTTGAGCCGCTGCGTGCAAGCCAAACAGCTGAGACTGCGCTCCGGGCGGAGATGTCTTGGGGACCTAAAAACAGACAGAACCACACCAACCACCACCAGCTGGCTGGACTGGCTGACTGGCAATGCGACACCCACTGGGCCCAAGTACTGGGGCAAATTAAATAACATAAAATACAAATCCGCTACAAATCCAAAAGCCAACTACAAAATAATAAACTTATTAATTCAAATTGCGATGGCACCGACACAGCCAGCAGCGACCTGCAAAGGACTTGGCCTCTAGCTGCTGGACTAGCTCTGTCTGGCTGGCTGCTTCGCTGGCTCATCATTGTCGCATTGTTAAATCCTGCAAACATCTGTGTCTCTTGGAGCTCAATTACACACAGCTATTTTTGCACCCTTAGTTTTTCAAAATGCCCTCCTTGCCTGAGAGGTTCTCAGATATTAGCTAGAGATGAACGCGTGAGTGACGTTATATACTAAAAATTCGAGAGTTAACTTTGCAACATATTTTAAATATTTATTTTTTAGTTGACAAACAATATTTTATTTTTGTTCTACAAATGAGCTAGTTTTTATAATTTAAAGCCTGACTAGAGGAATTTATTAAAATTTGTCTTATATTTATCTCTTTTAGATTAAGTTTAATAGGTGCCCAAATTTACTTATGGGTTTTGAATGAACAAAACGGCTAATGTAAATTTAAATACGTACAACATATTTACACATGCGTATGTGTGTCTATTTTTGATCATACTTCTCGCAGCAATAGAACGAAAGACAGACAGACACTCATACACATCCTATAAATTCGCATAGTAACGTCCTTCCACTTACATTGGAAACTTCCAGAAGAGAGTGAAAGAGACAGCTTCAGAAACGAGCGCAGGCAACTCAAAGTACTCTGTTTACTTCCCGACAAATGCCATCCACAATAAATACTCATCTCTCGCTCCTGCACGCTAATCCAAGCGCAAGTAACAGTTAATTTTTTGTCACTTGCCGCTTGTTGCTCAGAGTCGTAGACTGCTCGGTAGCGTTGTTATTGCTGTGTGCGTGAGGCACTTTGTATGTGTGTGTGTCATCCGAAAATGGAATTTAGCAAATTCGCCTGCTAATTGAAAAAAATGCCCGCAGCAAAACAAAAAGAAAATGGCAGCCGAGTCCACAAGTGCTGCACTACTTGAATTTAAAGTAACATTTCTTCCTATGCAATCCAAATCAATAAGTTATTATTTGAAGCTGGCCCTCAGGCGCCCAACTCACTTTTGCTGGCGCGTCTCACGGGGCTGTGGCTGCGCTTATTTGAGTTGGTTTGCTTTGTGAGGCTTGCGAAAGCAAAATCCCAGACGCAATCTTTGATTTTATTGTAAGCAAACGCAAAAACAAAGCAAACGCAAAAAAGGGAAAAAGAACAAACAGCACGAATGCCATTGCCGGCAGCAAAACAAATGCGCTCAGAGATTTCCGTTAGGTTAGAAAAGCAAAACCAACGCCAGCTACAAACCAAAAACCTCAAGGCTAACGCACTAAAGGGCGAAAAGGCAAAAAGCAACAGAGCAATCGGAGTAACGGTTTGCGCTGGTGCTCCACTGGCGATTGCCCACATGCGTAAAGCATTTTAAACAGATAAGCAGCCGAACATGTGCGTAATTCTTATTAAAACATATACATACATGCATATACGTATACCTACATATGTATATGTGTGTACGTGTATGCATATTTTAATATAAGCATAAACTTACCCTTTCATTTTAACTTACTAAGTATTGTCACATTTACATCAACACAATTGCACTAAAAAAAAAACAAGTAAAAAAAATATATGTATGTATATATCACCAGAACTTCACTTACAGCACTCGCGAGTCGCGACGAAGGAACTAACGAAAGCAACAAGTCGCGAAACCTAACGGTTAACGGGTGCTCCACTGCCAATTGGCAAACTGCGCAATACATTTTAAATACATAATTGCAAAGTATGGCGCACGCATACACTCTATTATATTGCATTTCAGCATTACATTACATTACCGACATTTCCACTAATAAACACAATTTATATCTCAAAAAGATAAGTAAAATGCAGTTGCCGCCCTGCACTAAAGAAATTCGCGAAAAAACGTCCTTTAATGTCGGACACTGTTAACATTTACATTGCGATCCACATTTACATTTGCAAAACTTAACGATCAGTTGTATATCGATAGCGAGGTAAACATCGATAAATCGTTAGTACAAGTAATTACAAAGTATTACAACTAATTCCTGCGATAAATCATGTATTAACGAGTGTTTCTAACTCTTGAGCTGCATTAAACTCAAATTTAAAATGTTTTAAGGCCTATAAAGCTGGCAAGCCATAAAAATGCATACGGTGTCAGTGGGCAAAGTCTTAAGCCAGCATTGCCTGCCTGCTGCGCACCTTGGGGATATGAAGTCATCAGCAACAAACCAGCCACACACACACACACACACACTCACTCACACAAACATCCTCTCCTCCTTTTCACACCAGTATGACCCTGCTTGACTTCTTGCGGCTGCAGATCAGGCAAATAGAATGAGACAAAAACAAAATAGCCCACTGCACCTTAAGGATTTGCTTTTTATGTTTATTATTTTCTTCGCCCCGCCTATCTAGCTACATGTTTGTGTTTCCATGTGTGTCTGTGGCATTAGCCACGTGGCTGGCACCCTTCGCCAATTCGACGTGCTAGTTTTACACCCTTGTGTGTACCGAGACTAGACCCCTGCCATCGGCCGTAGGCAAAGCCGCAAACGAAACATGTTGCGTTTTTTATGTGGACCCAGCCTAGATCCCGGAGCTCGAGGGGTTGAGCCGCGCTCCTGTCTTAGGTCATCAATAATGGCGCAAACATGCATTAAAGCCGCTTGCTTTACATTAAGTTAGAAGCGGCTTATTGAAATTGGTACACAACCTGAGCCCTTTTGGCTTCCCTTTTTTTCTACCATTACCGGAAGATGAGACTTGAGCTCCCAGGGGACTCACTACTTTCAATAAAAATTTGTTTGTACATTGTGGACACTTTTTTCCTGCATTGGGTGTTAGCCTTTGTTCTTTGCTAATATAAATAGATGAGTTCACTCAAGGAGTCGGGCTCTTAGTTGAGCTTCAATTTCAAAGGTCGCGCCATAGCTACCAATGCAAGCGCCATCTACGGGCTGTTAGCGCAAGTTACACGTTTGTGTACAGCGCTGCCAACTTGTTCGCATAACAATATCGCGTCGCCACCACAGCTAATCGCTTGAGATATTTAGTTATTTATCTACTAGGGCAACTCTGACGCGTCGAGACCCATTGTGCATTTTTTCTAAATTAAAATGGCATATGCAAGCCCAAAATTAATTAAATAAAGTGCAATACGGAATAATAAAGTGCTTGCTGGTATGCTGCAAATCATAAAGAATAAGAGAAATAGAAATTGATCGTAAATTAAAAGTAGTAGCATTTCTGCTTGAAAAACTATGCGCGTGTGCTCGTGTACGTCTGACTGTAGGTGTGTGCGTGTGCGTGCGTGTATGTGTGAGTGAAATTCCAACAATGCGCAGGGAGCGAGCTGGCTGAAATTTCTTTATGCAAAGCGTACGCAACAAAAACGAAGAAGCCACCGATAAAGCAGGGAAAATTTTTATATGTGAGTGCGTGTGTATTTATATATCGGCAGCTATAAAAAAGTGCGTATAATTAGCAAGTGCAACATCAAGCGCTGTTACATACATACATATATGTATATACATATATAGTTTTAAGGCAGCCTACATCAAACCATTGAACTGTACAAACACGCCCATATTTAGTGTATGTATGGAACGCCAGATTTGCCTGCGTGTATATGTGCATTTGTGTATGTGTGTGAGACAGTGTTTATTTATTACACTTTGATTTTGCAATAAGCTGCTGCTACTGCTGCTCTTGTTGCTATAATAGTCGCTTATCCAACGAACGGAAGTCGTCGCCTACAATTTTCGTGTTTTTATTTTATTATTTTACGCTCCCCCCACACATACACACAGAAAACAATCAAGCTGTCGCACACATGCATACATACATTTATATACCCACACGCTGAATAGTCTGTTGCTGTCAGCGTCGGCGTCGGCGTTAGCAGCGCAGACTCAATTGCATGAGAATTTTTTTTTTTTTTTTAATGTTATATCTCTTGTGTTTTTGTTTTGTTGTCGTCGGCGCGCAGCACTGACTTAATTTATTGGCAGCATTGTTGCTGTTGTTGTTGTTGCGCCTGCTGAAAATGAAAGTGTGTTAGTATATTTGTATGCGTGTACCGCAAATTGTGCGCCCAGTGAAACAAAAGCAAAAAACAAACAAACAAACAAAATTGACCAATAAAATCTCACAGCAATTTTTTGTTGTAGTCTTTTTCCTTTTTTACAAGAGATTATTAAAGAGATTTCATATTTTGCAGCTTAATTAGGTAGAGTTTGCCTTTTACGCAAAATGTGAAAGAGCAAAGAAATAAAAACAAAAAATATAGAAATATAGAAATTTATTTCTATATTATAAATATGTATGTAAATACTTACATTACTATAAAATGCAAAACTGGCTTCAAATTTTTCGCCTTAAATTATAAATATTCAGTTTGAAAAGTTTGGAATTATTTCATTTTAATTTTATTTTAATAATTAATTTAATACAGTAGGGTCAATATTATTGTGAAAAATGTATATTAGTAAAGTTCTTTAATAGTAAAACATTAAATAAATAAATTATCTAGTCAAAAGAAAATTAAATAAATATAATTTAAGTTACAATATTGTAGAAATACATTTTAAAACAAAAAATAACAAAAGACTCCATATTGGAATATTTCTGAAAA